ATGTGAACAAAGCAAATAGAGTCCTAGATGTGAACTATTTTCTGTGTCCTGTTCTCTACAGTGCTAGAAATTTGAGGGCTCATTTCATTTTGTGGGGAACAGGATTCTTGTTTGCCTTCATCCCTCCTCCTTATTGCTATACCATGCCCCTAAAAATTACAAGAAAGGAGATTCTGGATCAACATTAGGTGAACAACACCTTGTTGGAAAGAGATGTTTGACAGTGCAATGGAGAACCTTGTAGACAAGTAGAAAAATGACTATCCTTCATTTGAAGTTTTAAAATAGATGTCCACCTTTTGGAGGGTGCACTGGTAGAGGGTTGTACTAAATGGTTCTTGAGGTATCTTCCAACTCTATGATTTTGTAGATCCCAACAGCCCAACCAAATGGGTCAGGAAAGCCGGGAAGCATCGTAGCTACAAAATCTAGCAAGTCCACCTGTCCTCCCTTGCTTTAGCGGAGGATACAGTGGTTTGTCCATCTTTATTCTTAAATATCTCATTATGGATGAAAGGTCCTTGATGAAGGGTCTTTGCATCTTTCGCCGCTTTTGCCGGCCTCAATGCCGCGCTCCCTCCATTGTTTCATTTGGAACGATGGTGGAGAACCAGCTTGCTAACCCAAATCCCAGCTTCTCTTCTAAATTTTTGCAGGTGCAAAAAGCTTCATCCTCGACCTTTCAAATGAGAAAGCCAACTCTTAAGTTTCACTTCTTGAAATAAGAATAATGCTGTGGGATCTTAGATTGTGGGCCGGCAGTCCCTTTGCCTTGGAAAAGGGAAGTCAGATCTTCTTCTTTCGCTGAAAGTGACATTTGGTGACATTTTGCCATTTTTCCCTGAAATATTCCACCAGTGGGTGGAATATCTGTGGGATATTCTCAGGAATTTCAGATGGGAGGGGGAAGAGAAGACCGGACAGTATATTAATGCAGAATTTTGTCCAGAGAGCCACACTTTCCAGCTTCTACCTAGAAGAAAGGAGAGAAGAAAGAGAAAGAAGCAGAAGGCCCCAACTTCGAAAAGTCACCAACCATGGCCGATCTGAAGAAGGTTCTTCTGATCGCTTTCCTCTTGGCTCTCTCTTATCAACATATAGCAGGTCAGTGGGATCCATTTTCCTCTCTTCAATTTATCGCTCCAATATTTGTGATATGTAAAGTACTGGTATGTCTTTGCTTGAGAGACCCCAACAGATGTTGGGATCTGATCTTGGCATCTCTTGCTCAAGGTTGCAGATTTATGTTGCGTTGCTGAACATGAAACAGAACATGATGCCTGATAAAACAATTCAAGAAAGGTGAAATGAGGGCATTTCCTCTTCAAATATGAATTCTGCCCCTCGCAATGAAAGTTTCCTTCAGTCCCCCAAATTTCCAGCATTGTTTTTTTAAATTATTTTATTAATTATTTAATTGTTTTTTAATTATTATTTTTTTATTAATTTCCCTTTACAAAAAGTTTTGTACATATTCAATAAGAAGTAAAGAAATAAAAAAAATCAATCGGTATACATCTGATTGCTTTTGTTTCTCATCTTACACAAATAAGAAAGAAAAAAGAGGTAGAAGTTTATAATTATATCAAAACCAATATCTCTGAATCTTCCTTATTTATTTGTTTTCCTTCTTCTTCTTCTTCTTCTTCTTCTTCTTCTTCTTCTTCTTCTTCTTCTTCTGTTTTCATTCTTCTCCTCTTCTCATTTTTCTGTCTACGTAATTCTACTATTCATTAGTATTATAACTTAAAGTATGACTTCCCCACCAGGTTTTCCCACTTTTAATGGCTCCTCTTATCTATTTCTCTATGCATCAATACCTATGTCTTTCCCTTTCTTAACTACATTCTTTCATTAATGTCCAATATCCAAGAAACTTTTTTCATTAACCTCATTTTTGTTTCTTTTTATTATTTAGCTGATTTTGTGTATATGTGTAAGTAATCATTGCTAACTTTAGCTTGTTTTTCAACTTTCTAAAAAAAAAAGTTATTGCTCTTATTCCCCATTTATTTTCCCAAAGTGGTGTTAATCTTTTCCAGTCCTCCCTCCTTTCAGTAATCGATTTTCCATTTACCAGATAGGTCAGAATATCCATTTCGTAAAGCTCATAAATTTCCAGCATTGTTGTGGTTGTTGCTAACTGCTGTAAAGTTGACTTTGACTTATGTCAACCCTATGAATGATAGATCTCCGGTCACCCGGTCACCAGCTGCCCTGCTCAGATCTTGCAGATTTATAACCATGGATTCCTTGATTGACTCTATCTATCTGGGATCTGGTCTTCTTCTTTTCCTCCTGCCTTTATCATCTCAAGTATCACTCTCTTTTTCTAGGGAGTCCTGTCTCCTCATGATATGTCCAAAGTATGTCAGCATCAGTTTAGTCATCCAAGGAAAATCCAGGCTTGATTTGCTCTTGAACCCATTGAGTTGTCTTTTTAGCAGTCCACGCTATCTGCAGAACTCTTCTCCAATAAGTTGATTTCCTTCCCCCTAGCAGCTTTCTTCATGGTCCATCTTTCACAAGCATACCTAGAAATGGGAAATACGATGGCATGGACAATCCTAACTTTTGAGCATTGCAATAAATTAAAAGCTTTGTTGAGCATTTAGATACACAGTTGAGGTATTCATATAAAGAGGGCAAGCAAAGTGACCAAGGGAATGCAAAGACAGCCAAGAGAAGAGCTCTAGGTACAGACAATTTCTAGTGTCTCATTCTCTGCAATGCTAGAAATTTGGGGGAATTTGAAGGAAAATTTCATGGGGCGGGGACAGAATTCTGGAGATTCTGTAGCTATGCATAGGTTTGGTTCCATAGAGGCAAGAAACAGGCTAATCCCCAAATTCTCTTCTATTATTAATCCTCTGTTTGGTTCACCTTGTGGCTGCATCATAATTGTTTTAGTGTTTTTGCAAATGCTACTCCTTGATGCATATGAGCACAAGCGAAAAGAGAACATGACCTCTGCTGGAGGACTTGCAGAAGAACAACTAGCCAAAATAGCAAGGTCGTGGCTGCATCTGCACTGCAGAAATAATCCAGTTTGACACCACTTTACTTGCCATGGCTCCATGGTATGGAATTCTGGGAATTGTAGTTTTATGAGACATTTAGTCTTCTTTCTCAGAGAGCTCTGGTGCCACAACAAACTACAGAATTCCATAGCATGGTGCCAAAGTGGTGCCAACCTGGATTATTTCTGCAGTGCAGATGCAGCCCATGGTCTCTTTCATGCAGGGATTCGAACCCTGGTCCTAGTTCGACACTCAAAGCTCTGCAGCACGCTAGATCTCAAATATGAATGTTATGAGATTACTCACTTCGATTCTTTTGCGCGCATAAGGCTATTTACGAAGAAATAAATCCCAAGCAGAAACCCAGCCTATGTCTTTTTTTGTCGACTCCAGCCCTTGCAGACTTTCCCTGCAAAAGAATAGGGAGAAATTGCCTTTCCTGGAAGATATTGAAGAAGTAGGGTGCCACAACAGA